TGGAAACGCTATTATTGCCAGCATTGTTTACCCTTTGAAAGGTCAGTTTAAGGCATTTGCTTCTATTTGTTAATGTAGTGCAGAGAGAAAAATAAAATTGGCAAGGACAAAAAGAGCAATAATTACTTTCTACTGTATTTTTCTTACATTTGTCATCCAATGTATTCTCTATAATTTAACTGATTAGCTTTTTATAAAAACGCTTGTATTTTGGGAAAAATCTATCGTTACCAGAATTTCTGGGCTTTTGAAAACGTAAAGTTGGTCAAATATAGTCATTTAAGAATGGGACACATCATTAATGTGCACAGATGCCCCAATATCACTGCTGCTAGTATCATATTTTATGACCAGTGCTTGTAATCATTTCAAATGTTTGTTTTTAAGGCACTTCCATTCCATTAGCAATAACAACAAAAGTTGTACTAACAGGTGTGCTGGGTAAAATAGCCCAGAACAAAAACACACACTCACACAAGTAATACTGATTTGTTGTTCTGACTTTATTAGCATTTGACCCAGTCTTCAGACTTTGTCAAAGAAATTTCATTGAAGTTTTGAGGACTGAAACTCAAGGCAACAGTGGCCAGGATTTTTTTTTGTCATATTTACCTTCATTTGTAGTAAAATACAGCATTTCAACTATTTAAGCTAGTATTTATTTCTTCATGGTCAAGCAATCAGTCAAATAACTGATTAATTGACTGACAAAACAGTGTTTACTTGTGACCTTTCGTGACACGAGTTGTGCGAATATGAAGTTCTAGTAGCGGCAGCAATTTTAGTAAAATAAAAGTCTGCTATAAAAGGTCTAGCAGTGAAATTATAAAGAAAGCACCAGATAATATCAAATGACGAATACTGCAATAGTATTTAATCCAATCCAATTCGTTTTTCTTCTCAGAGAGCATGGAAGAGACAGTTTTTGCAGTACTTCACAAGAGAAAAAAGCAAAAGAAAAACAGAATTTTGAGTTAATTTGACTTTTTTGATACTTTTTGTCCCTTTAAATCTCTGGGAATCCTTTATTTTTTGGGGACCCCTTTAACCAAAAATCACTTAACTAAGTGATAAAGCACAGCCAGATTAAGCAGTTACTAATCTAAGCATTAGCTCAACTAATTTCATTCATATTCTAGATTTGTACTGTGCTGATGTTACACTACATAACTTTAGTATGGCATATTTAATTATAAGATTGCCTGTGTGGCAAACTGGATGTTGTCACCAGGCAATTATTAAAGGTGACCTTCATAAGTAAAGCCAGTTTATTGGCATCATTCAGTGTCCCATGCAACAAAGGCAGCAGGCCAAATTCAAACCAGCAACCACAGCAGGTCCCCCTCTGCCGCACTGAGGTGGTATGATGCAGAGTCCAACTTAATCTGAGAGCTCAAAGGAAAAGGAAGTGAGGAAATATCCACAGAAGCACAGCATGGCAGCAGATGGCCTCCTAGGCTTCAACCATCTGGTGAGGAGACGTCCAATCCGCCGGCTGTCTGTCCCCTTTCATTTACACATGATTCCTTAACAGTAAGACCTGCTCCTGTTCCCCTAATACACCTCTACACCCTTACCCTCCAATCTTCAGACACAGACCGGGAACACACTCACTCCGATTAGGCTTACGTCCACTCTCCTGTCTGGGCAGCCAAGAGACCCGCTGCCACGTCACATGTCACAAAGCCTAATCAATGAGTGTTAAGCCTTTAGATGTCATTCTCTCGCCAGCCTGGAGATTATCATCTATCCCTGTGTTAGGGCTGCTCCCAGCATGGCTTACTTTAAATAGCAATATGCTGATTGCATTGCTGTCTGTATGACCGCTTATTCAGTAAGAAGGGGCTTTCAGGCAATCTGAGATTTATTGCAGCTCTTAAGCTGCAAAACTGTACTTAAAAATACAATTACCATCACTTTCTTTCCCACTGTTAACAGCTTCAGCCACCACCAGTTTCCTCATCCTCTGTAAATTCAGCAATCATGAATTATGAGGATTTGATTTATTAAACATGCTGCATACATACAATGGTATAATTTGGACTACAGCATGTACTCAATACATCATGTGGAAATTACATAATCAATAACAACTCCATCAAGGTCAAGAGGGTACTGATAGATCATGATCAGAGACCTACGGTAATAAAGGGATAAAGATAGATATGAGGTGTTAATGTGTGTGTGCTGTGTGACTTGTAGTTAATCTGTAACTCCATTTAGGAGTCAAAGCTTTGGGGACACAGGGACCAACATCCTGCGAAAAAAAACAAACGTGACAAACAATCTACAGTTGTCATTGCCCCACACACATACGCACGCACGCACGCACGCACACACACACACACACACTCATTCTTATCTATACTCGCAGATCATGTAAAACAGGACACATTGCATCATCACCAGGTGTAATGACGATGTAGTATATTGCACAATTTAGCACACCTGTGTACAAGCGCTGCAACAAGCGATTCTTTTCATTGTCGATAACTCTGTCGATTATTCTCTCAATTGATTTGTTTTCCTGTCCATCAAATGTCAGAAAATGTTGAAAACTGTCAATCAGTGTTTCCTAAAGCTCAAGATGATGTCCTGGAATGTCCTGTTCTAAAACCATAAAATATTTACATGTAAGAAGTCAGAAACAGAGTATTTAGCCTTTTACAAAAAAGTCAATCAAACCAATTAACTGATTATCAAAATAGTTGACAATTAACTTAGTAGCTGAAAACTAATGAATAAATTGTTGCTTTTCTAATGTACACTCCATCTTTAGTTGTGCTGTTGTTTCAGTTGTTTAAACATTTTTACGTTTAAATAAGTAGAGATGAAATAATTTGTAGATAGACTGAAAATTAATCTTTACCTGATTTTAAGTTATTTTTCAAGAAAAAACAACAACAAATCCAATGTTTTAGCTTCCCCATTGTGAGGATTTACTGCTTTTCTTTTTCATAATAAACAAGAAACTGAACATTTTTAGGATTTTAGATGCTGTTTAAGGGGGAAAAAACTCTTTCATCACATTAATTTGGGTTTTAGGACACTTGGATGGGCATTTTTGTTTTTCGTTTTTTACTTGTTTCTAAAATTAAAACTTAATCAACCAAGAAAAACAATTAACTGCAGATTAAATCAATAATGAAAATCTCTGTTAATTGCAGCCCTTGAAATGATTAGTTCATTAACAGAGATCTAATTGCCAACACTTTATTAATCATCCTTAAGCAAAAATCTCAACATTTGTGGGTTCCAGCTTCTCACATTTGATTTTTTTGGTGATTTTCTTTGTTTTCTAAGAGAATAAATGTATTTCTTTGGGCTTCAGAGTGCTGCTCAGACAAAATCACACATTTGTAACCTGCTGATTCAATCAAAGCTGTGACAATTGCTGATTCAAGCAAAAGCTTAAGTTGAGTTTAAATCATTTCTAAAGGTAAATGTCGAATATTATCTGGTTCCAGATGTGTATTTTGTTGGTTTTACCAGCTCTCTATATTAAATACATCACACATCTTTTGGTTTTGAGCTGCTGGTCAGACAAAAAAAGCACTTTTGAGACATTACTGAAAGCTTTTCATTATGATGGAGGCATTTAAACATATTCCCACAACAAGTAATTAATTAATTACTAAGTAAAATATTCAGAAGATTAGTAGATAGTAAAAACAACTATTAGCTGCTACCCTAAACAAATCCTGGCAGTTTATGGGCTTAGAGAATAGCTGGCCGGATGAAATTTCTTCTGAGCCGTTTGTTTCCACCCTTCAAAAAGTATTCAGCTGTAAAGTGATACTACTGGTTGGCACGGAGTGAAACCGGGGAACTGGAAAAAGGAAACTTGTTGCTGCCAGTAGGTGTGACCTCCTGCCTTGGCCTGGCTGCCATGCTGTTACAGGTCCACTGGGCCAGTTCCATGACACAACCGACTCCTTTCAAACCGGCTCGGTGAGTTCACCAAACTCATGAGAGGGAGAGTCAGATTGTTCAACTGGTTTCTTGTATAAAAAAAAAAAAAGAACACATACAAAATCTTTTTTTTTTTAAAAAAAGCACTGCGGCATGAAGTGGCACTTTTCACTTAATTCCTGAACATTAATGGTGATCATTATTCACATCTCGCCTCATATTTTTACATTAATCGAGGTTTCTTAATGTCACAAATGGAGGTAAAGTTTGAGAATCACATCTGACTTTGAGAGAAATTAATTGCAGTGAGAGCTTATTGTTAAAGTAAAATAATAACAAGAATAATAATAACAAAAGCCAGGCTAAAAGGAGTTGGTAGTCCAGCAAGAAAACTCAGTAATATATGTAGATGTGAAGAGAACTGCTGATTGCATAACTATGGCACTGAGCCACAGAGTCAACATTCACACCACAGTAGACTATAGAGGCAAAATAATGTACTGTAGCCTGTAAACTACTGTGGGAGTACACAGCACTACCTGCAGCCCTGTGGACAACACACAAAAATACACACACTCACACAAGTACCATCTCTCCTTATTAGTGGGCAGCGTTGACTCTGACACCTCCATATCATAACCCTCTCAAATAAACCACATTGGCAAAGATTTCTTTTTTTTTTTAAGGGGGAAAAAAAAAAGCGCTGGACCATTCAAAGAAGATTTACGCGGATCCATGTGAAATTGTGCTCATAAATAATACATAAATCCAAAATTAGAAATGTGGCATCAAGCAATTTCACACATTAAATCGGAATAGCTCACAGACAGCACAGTCCAGCAAGAGTCACCTCATGAATTTTCCCACATTGCCAGATTATTCTGGCAATAAAATAGTACATTTGGGTCTCCCTTACGCACGGGCACAGCGACAAATACATTTATTCAGAGGCTTGACAGGTCAAGTAGGCAGCTGTAGAGGAATTTTTTGCCGTATTTTTCACCGCACAAATACACACATAACATTTCAGATCAGTGCAGGTGTCATGAGAGGCGCTCTAAAGGGCAGCGCTTTTCTAGATTACTCACCCCATTGCCGCGGACTTGAGGAACAACTCCTTATTTATCTGTGGGTTATATTGGCTTGTTTGGTTGGAGGGGAAAATAATGTTTTAAAGCGCAGTCAAAGTCCACAGATGATTAGCGGTCCAAAGAGTTCATAAGCCCGTGTGCCAGCTTCGAACAAGTCCCTCTTTGCTTGCTGAGAGACAACTGAAATATGAGAGCACTTCTTCGTAAACTCGCTTCGCCGGGTCGTCTGGCTCACGGAACCCCGTTCAATTCAGGAAGTTTTTTCGCTCCCCTCGCTTGTTTCACTTGTTCGCACACGCCGCAGAATAAATCCCGGCTCGGAATTGCTTCTTCCTCGGTGTCTTAAAACAATCGGCGCCGATGTATTAAGTTAATATGTCCCTTGCCTTGCTCTCTGCGCGGAGTTTCTTCCTCCCCAACGGGATTGTGTTTAATGTGAAGGGCAGCAGCAGCGACACGGAGCGGCTTCCACCTGCTTCTTCCAGAGCCACCCACTCTCCGGTTTTTTTTTTCTCTCTCTCTGTAAACCTGTGGTATCTGCGGTGGTTGCCTGCGGTTCCAGTCGGGCGGTTAAACCCAAACTGGGGTCTCAAACCACGAAATAATTCAAGCGGAAGAAAATCACAATACACACAATTGAAAACGACAAACAATGTAAACTAAATTGAGGTGCACTTACATGTTATAAGTAACTGTGTTGGTTTTCAGTAGGCACTTTCGCCCAAATATGAGCGAAATAACACTTATTGGTAAATGCGACACACTTTAGCGTCTTTAGCTCAATATTAAGTCTCAAAAACTTGCTTTCTAGTCGACAGCTGGTGTCTTTGACAGCCTTTACGCAGGTTGATGTTGACCGTTGGTGCCTCTTTACAAACTACCAGGTAACAGCTATCAATCACTGGCAGGTGCGCGCGCTCCCGGAACCTTTAACTTGTGTTCATTTGTTCCGGGAGGGAATCATTTAAGTGACGTACCGACACTGAAACTTCGGATCTTTCGTTTCTTCCTAAGAGGTATTAATAAGCTAGCAGCATTTTTCGCCATTTAAACGTGGGGTTTTCAAAGATAACATTTGGGTTTTGTTTTGTTTTTGTGTTGTTTGTATCGTTAGCTAACTTATATCGCACGTAAGCTTCGTCAGTTTTTATTAGCCCGCATGGGAAACCTGGCTTACGGATTAGCATAACAAACATAAACCTGTGGTAGCTAGTGCTTCAATGACTTTTCTCCCGTGTTCACAGAATGACTGAGACCTCAGAAAACACGCAGAAGTACGAGGAGCTGTTCGCCCACAGATTTTCATCGGAGGATAAAGAATATCAGCAGTATGTGACCCGTCCAGCTGACTCTCCACCCATCGTCGAAGACTGGAGGGGTCGTGCTGGAGGAAACCAGAGAGGCAGGGATAACAGGTTAGCTTGTAAAATGGGGCAGTAATCAGGAATTTATGGATTCCATCGTGGTTATGATGTTATATGTTTATATTAGAGATGTGATTTCATAGAAGCAACGCTGTAATGTCGTTTACAGGCATTAGACGTTAAATTAGAGTTAAATAAGTGTTACAGCTATTTAGTACTGGATCAGAATCAGGTTCATTGCCAAGTAGGTTTTCTTGTGGTGAATAAAAGTAAACACTGACAAGCTACAAGGATAAAAGACTCAAAAAGCAAGTATTGTGAGTCAAATAAACAGCAAATGTTACAACACAAAGAAAGAGCAAGTGTTACAATTAAAAAGCAATTGTAGCAAATGTGCTTGTAAAGGTAAAAGTAATGGAAATGTTTACAATCTGCAGGAATGTGAAAGTATTCACGCAGTATGTAATATAAGCAACTTGAAATGCAAAAGGACATTAATCCTAGGAGCTTCAGTAAAAACTTCCTCATAGATGAGAGGTGAAATGTCTCTAAGAACTGAAAAGAGAAGTCCAGCAACTTTTACTGAAAGTCCTGGGATTACTATGACCTGGACGACTGAGAATCTACACAGACAAGGATAATAATTCTGCTGAAATAGCTGTGCAATAATGTAATGCATTAAATCAGTGCCTGCATTGGGGGGTGGAGGAGAGACAGTTTGGAGCACATGTGGGACGGTGTTGTTTAGCTGGTTCCACAAGTTGTGGAAGTTTTTGGTTTCAATGCAGACGGATTAGGTTGTAACTTTACTATCAGTTCTTGTTTTCTATTGCAAATCCACCTGACCAACCTTGGATTTTATAAACCGCCTGTATGATTGTCTAACTACTTGTGCTATCACTGAGCTTTCAGCAGTTTTTTGGGTGAACATCATGCTATCAAAGGCTGGAGCTACAAAGTACAATTGAAGCTGTAATAGACCATCATTTTCCTTTAACAAAAGCTCCCTCAGAACCAAATGAACCACTTTAACTGTTTTCCCAGGTTGAGTACTACTCTCGGTGAGCATAATTTTATTGGAAAATAGGTGGTGTGCCACTTTAACCAAACACAGATTTAACAATTTGGAGTTAAAAATGTCTTTTAGGTCATTGTTTTGGGTAATTTATTATAATACATGCAGCTATTAGAACCATTTCTTTCTCTTAGTCCATCCAAGGTGACAATCACATTGTATTCGGACAAATTCATTTCTCTCCAAATGTATAATTTGACCAAAATCATCTTTGGTAATAGTTAGGAGATGTAACCACAGTATATTGTGCTGCTACAATCATCTTATTGTTTCCTTTTAAGGTGAAAATGTATTGTTTTCTTTTATATGTTAAAACTAAAGTTTGATTTAAATTGCATTTCTCTATAGCAGATCTTGCAAAGTGCTTCACTATGAAAGACAAAAACATTAAGAACCACAACATGAGAATAAAATTTTAAAGTAGAAAAAAAACTGTCTCTGAAGAGAAGTTTTTGCATTCACAAAACCTGACAACCAGGTTTAGTCACTCACCTGATACCATGACGTAAAGAAGGGATCTAGTTTTCTCAACTGAGATTAGAGATTAGAAAGGAAAAAAACGAGAAACACAGCTACATTTCTTGGCCATTTCTAAACTGAACCTGAGTTTCTGACTGTGTGTGTTTTTTTTTTTTTTTACATGTTTCATGTGATGTATGCATTAGTGCCTGCTGAAGATTGATTGCTTATACTTGTCTTTGTCTAGGTACCAGGACCGCCGTGGACACAGAGGTAGAGGATGGGGAGGAGACCAGGGTCGGTGGGGGGATCAGCGTTGGTGGCGGGATCAGCGTGGGCAGCAACAGTGGCATGACAGAGACAGAGACAGGCATTGGGGTCATGGAAGTGGGTACCAGTCAGGTCCTCCAAGCTCCAACCAGGGACACAACTCCTATCATCAGAGACCACATTATGACCGCTACTGATCTTCACTGTCATCTCTCAGCTGTTGTCAGTATTTATAGTATTCACAGTCTTCTAACTTTCAGAGCTGTATGTGCAACTGTTGTTTTTTTTTGGTTAGTGTCATAAGCAAGGGCTGAGCATGATGTCAATGTTGCTAATTTATTGTCCATCATTGTAATTCTGATGCCCTTTTTTTTTTTATTATTATTTTACTTTAAAATATCCAGAAAAGAGAGAAAATTACAGTTCGCGTTTGAGGTCCACTTACCTTGTTCATACCCAAACACAGTAACGTTTTCCCATGTTTCTTCATATTGCTCAGCCCTCTTTTCATTTTCAGGAATCTTAATAAGCACATATTTGCAGTTTTCATGACAGCAACTCAAATTGCAAAAAAACACTGAAATTTGACAATTTCCCCCAACATTTTAGGTATGTGGGCTGTTTTCAGTATTTGATTATCACAACATTACTGTGAAACATCACAGGGCAGTTGTTTTGTTTTCAGATGGTGTTGCCGCTGCATTTTTATATGCTTTGATATTGGTTTGTAATAAATTATACAGTACAGTGTTGTAACAAAACGAATCGGGATTTCCAGACAAAATCTACTTGTAATGCAGCTTTATTTTTCATTATGCAAGTACCTGGATTTAAATATAAACTGCTGTCAATAAACACATATTTTCTTAATCAAAGGTTTCTGTTTTTGTAAAGTTTTGCTTTTCAATATTTAATTAAATTTACCAGCACTAGTCCCCAGCAGGTACCATCAATCTGAACTAGTAGATCACTACTTGTGCCAAAAGTGACTTTATTAAAGGCACATTAAGGTTTCAGGTTTTTACTGTAACTTGTTAACCATCTTTATGTCTCTGGTATAACTAACTAGAATGTTTCCAGATCTTTTTTGTAGTTCACTTTTTCTTCCAAACATTTTGCATATATTTCTTTTCAGACCATTAAAATTTTTTTAACTGTTGTAAAAGGAAAACAATTTCCTCACAACTAATGGCCTATCTTGTGTAAAGGGGTTATGAGGGATTACAATTACAATACATTTTTTTCATCAGTGTTTTATTTTGTGGGGGGAAAAGGTTTCTTTATCTCATATTTAGGCCTGAAGAAATTCAAGATTGGGACCTTGAGAAGCCCATTATACCATTGTTAAGACAGTACAACAGGTTCTGACCCACATTTAGGTTGAGCTACCTTTTTTATGAAGCATATTGGATCAGCAGGGGCAAACTTTGAATCTGCTCTGCACCATCTCCCAAACCTAAACTAATATGAAGTGTAGCTCCAAAAAGTCTTTCAGAGACGTTGAAATTCTGATTGTTTCTCCCTGCTTACTCAGAAAAAAGACATTTACTGAAGTCACGTTTCTGTTTTAGCCTCTAATGCCAGTGTGGTGGATGACACAGTAAACCAGATGGCCTGAACAACTGCACAGTATGTGGAGGGAAAGCAGCATTCACAGTAAATGGCTCAGAAGAAGCCCAACACCAATTGTGAAAAGCAACTAAAATATTTATGTGCATCATTAATACATTACTACTACATGCATCATTGGCTATGGCATATGTAGCTCATTGCCCAAAGATGTCAGCGCTTGTGTTTCTGAGTCCGTTTCCAGCAGATCTCAATTAAATAAAAGCAAGTGACTTTGGGCCACACTGGCCCTCTCCACTGTTGAACAAGACAAGCAGAAAATCTCTGCATTGTTTCGTTCCGGCCCAGATGCCACTCTGTGGTTTCTATTTATGGCCGTGGTGAGTACGGGGTTAACAGTTCATTTGGACTTCAGCAGTGCAATCAGCTGTGATGAGAACGGAGGAAGGAGTTGAGGGCGAAAGTGTGTGTGTGCAGTGTGCTGAAACTGGCACATTGTGGAGAATGCTGCCATCTCCACTTTTCGTCGGTTTAGATTATTGAATCTTTACTCCAGACTGCTGCGTCTGCACAGGACATCGATATGATGGACACAGAAGCAAAACGGGAATTTATTTGCAAAGAAATGTCAAAATGTAATACTTGAGCTCTGGTGACATGGGAACCCTAACCCTAATAAACCCTAACCCTGTCTTGGAAAAATGAATACAAAATAAATAAATAAATTGGTGAACATTTTTGGAAATATGCTAATTTGCTTTCTTATTTAAATCTATGATTAGAATCAGAAAAGATTTATTGCCAAGTAGGTTTTCACAAACAAGGAATTGGACTTGGTGATTTGGTGCACACCATTAAACAGTAACAAAGATTTAAAAGTGCTGCCAGTTGTATTTATTAAGTGTAACAAGATTTTTTAAAAAGAAAGAAGAAGAAGCAATGTTATTAGTTACATAGAAAATAGCAGTAAGTGTAATAAAGGGTTTATAAAACACAAGAAGTAACAGAAATATTTCCATGTGTAGATTAGTCACTTGAGAGTATACAAGGTTAGATAGAATATAGTGTAAGCAAGAACTTGAAATGTGCAAGAGGATAAAGCACAAACACTCGTGTCTCTCGTGTCTGTCCTTTCAGGTGACCACCACCTGCTAGTTTCCTGAGCGTAGCACAAAGACTGACTCTAAAACTTTTCTATCAGTGTTATGTGATGCTAACATTCTGTACATTTGTGCATCAGAGGCAAGTCTTAAGCCTTTGGACTCTGTTTATCACACTGCATTACAATTTATTACTTTTGATAGCTGTAATATTAATCACTGTGAGCTGTATGTTCAGGCTGGGTGACCCTTCCTCTCCATAGAGCGTGATGGAAGCTAGGTTTTTATTTATTTATGAGGCTCGTACTGCTTTTTACTCCCTCACATTACCTCATTGGTGTGTTGAATGATCGGATTACTGCAGGTACTGAGTGTTTTTACGTAGCTTGGAAAATGTAGTTTCGCCCACTGTACACCTACAAAGTGGAAAAACTTGCAAAAGAAAGAAAAAATCTAAAAGTTGGTGTCATTTTTGTCCTTGAGCAATTTCACTGAAAATGTTTTATTTTTTTCCCTGCTCCTCCTGTTTTAGTTACTGCATTTGATTTTTTTTTTCACTTAAATGCTCCAATTATTGTCTTTATTACTTTGCTTTTTATTCATTTTATTGCTTTTGTTATACAAGTTTCTTATTTGTGTGACCACATCTTTTATCTTTTCCTTGGCTACGCTGTAAATGAGGCACTTTCAGCTCATGAATCAACATTTTATATCTGTTTAGCACTGAAGTGAATCAGTCATTCGTACTCCCCAGAGGATGAAGCCTAAGAACTTTTCCTTTTGTACCTTTAGAGTGACATTTATTATTTTGATTGCAGTGCCTTAAAAAGTGGCACACACATTCAGGTTGGTTATTGGTCTTGGTCACTTTGTTTATTTTCCCCTGTAGCTTTACTCTGGGCTTCATGTTGGTGGTTTGACACAGATATAAGACTCCCATGAAAGTATTCAAATATCATGAAAACTAAGATGTTGAGCAAAAACATGCCACTTGCTAAACAGGCACATTGGTTTTACCGTTTAGCCATTCGCAGAGCTGCTTTAAACTGTCTCTGAATTTGTATGTGGTAAGGAATATGATACAGGGCTGATATTAACATTCCACGGCTGAGTAAGATGCACCCACATCCTTCTGAAATCCTCAGAGGCGAGACTTGGTGTAAAATTCCCACAGCCTAATCAGATTAACATGTTAATCTGTCCCTTTAAAGCAGAGACTATCCTTTACTCATTCATTGCGCTTCTTATTTATGAAGCATTTGTTTTTTACTACACCATGAATAAAACCCAAACTGCTCTGCGCCGTCGTTTCAGTGAAGAATCCAGTGAACTATTTTCCTCGTGAACCTTTTCCAGTGCCCCCTTTAATCAAATCCATCGTCTATTGCCTTCTGATTAATAAGCTGGTGATGCATCGTAAGGCTTGGGAGAGTGTAAGAGAAGGAAAACAATGGAGAGAGCCACAGCGAAGGGGACCTATGAGAATACACCCTCAGTCTGGTCTGCCGGCCTGTCAGGCTTCATGTGGCCTGTTTGTGACGATGCAATGTGACAGCAATGGAGACAGTGTGCTGGGGGCCATGTCCTTGATGATGAACTCATCCACTACAATCATCGCTCTGCCCTCTCCCCTTCTAAGTGCACACACACACATACATACAGACACGTGGGCGCACAATACACCGCAGCCTCACCAACACACACACATGCAGACAAACACATCCCCCCAGCCCCTGCAGCATTTGGCGACCTACATCTGGTGTTGGAGAGTGCAGGGGCTAAGGTTGGCCTGGGCCAGCCAGCCCCCAGCAGACAGTGCAGAGTGTTCATGTAGCGTGTGACGTGTGTGAATGGCAGAGTATTCATGCTCTGCTCTTTTCTCTTTTTTTTTTTATTATTTTGAAAAAATGTCCCCAGCTTTTGTTAGATGCATACAAATCTGAGCACGATTCTCACATGAGCGCCCACGTGCAGATAGTAACCAAGCAGTCCTAGGCGCATTTAATTAGGAATAGGCAACTAAAATTTGCTTCTGCAGATCAGTTTTGATAACATCTTGCAATCTTGCTCATCCAACTGTGCGCTCTTTAAGTTAATCATGCAGCTGCTCAGGTCATCCATGTAAAGACGATGGATTCTGCTGCTGAAGGGAGCTTGTTAGTCTGATTATATCTGGTGGCATCTCCACTGGGAAATGTAGGCAAGCTGCAGGAATATTCTGATTCATAGAAGAGTTCAGATCCTTTTTTAAACAGAAGTAACATTATAAAAATGTAAAAAAAATAAAATAAATAACTACAGAAAAGTCTCTAAATAACAACCAATTGAAATTGCAAGAGGTGTTGCCAGCAAAATTTGCTCAGTTTCGTAAGTAAAAAGTAGGCAGCTTTGTAATCCAGAAAACTGTCTCCATCACTGATCTCTTTTATGCATGACGTTATTATATTGTTAAATCTGAGCCATCAGATTGTTACTGTTGTATTTGGTGAAAATGGAGCTGGTTTGAACTACTTCATGTGCAGTTTGGTGATTCAGGTGCGGACCCCTGTCTAAAGGCCACTAGGAATAGATAAATGAAAGTTTTCACAAGATGATTAATGTGGTAGAAGAGGTGGAAGGAAGAAGTACTCAGGCCTTGTACTTAAAATAAAAGTGCCAATACGTGTGGAAATACCATCTTATAACTAAAAATCATGCATTTAGAGCTCAGCTGGTAAAGATGTTTTAACTACTAAGTTTCTGTATGTGGATATAAAGTTTTTTTTGATCATATAATTTATTTGTAGATTTTATTTTGTATTATTAAATGAAATCTGTAATGTAGCTACAGTTATTTTTTTTTTTTAAATGCTAATGAATTATAGTGGAGTAGAAGTATGAAGTAGAAGAAAATGGAACTGCTCCAGGAAACTCAAGATGGTACTTGAGTAAATGTACTTTGTTACTTTCACCAGTGTGTGGTTGGGGAGAGAAAAAAAAGTAG